ATCAGAAGGTAGAAGAAAAGTTTTTTTCCTTCCTCAACAAACGCATTACCATTTCTTTGGCAGATAACCCTCCAACTTTCCCTTTAGAGCCCATCTGACTGACAGTCATGGGCGCATTTCTCTCTTGGGATCTCTTGTTCTTTTTGAAACTGAGTCTTGCTCTGTGGCCCAGGCTGGAGTGCAGTGGCACAATCTGTAACCTCTGTCTCCTGAGTTCAAGTGATTCTCATGCTTTAGCCTCCCAAGTAGCTGGGATTACAGGAGTGCGCCACCATGCCTGGCTAATTGTATTTTTAGTAAAGACGAGGTTTTGCCATGTTGCCCAGGCTGGTCTTGAACTCCTGGGCTTATGCAAATCCACCTGCCTCAGCCTCTCAAAGTGCTGGGATTACAGGCATAAGCCACCACACCCAGCTGGGGTCTCTTGTTCTTAGAAACTTCAGCCCCTTTTTAGCATCTCCACTTCTTTCTGGAGGAAGCCTTCTCATATCTAGAACCTGAGAGACTTGCTTGATTCAATAAAATTCCACCTTCAGATATTGAGCTAATCAAGGCCTTATCTGAGATGCTATGGGCGGGTGTGGAGGTGGAAGAGAGACAGAGACAATAATAATAATAGCTAACACGAGAGCCTAATGTGTACAAGGCACCATGCTAATGGCTTAATGAGCATTCTCTCATTTAATTTTCATAACTATCCTATTTTATTTTCCCGGTTTTACAACAAGGCTTAGTGAGGCCAAGCAAGGTGATAGGGCTAACAAGTGTCTGGTCCAGGAATGAAACCTCAATCTCCCTGACTCCCCCACACAATCTCTGATCCATGTTGCATTTGTCCAGTGTTTGGTGAGACCCCATATCCTAAATAAAAACAGGCCAGGATAAGGGCTGTGGGGTCAGAGGGAGCTCTTTCAGACTGCAGGAATGGCTTCCTGGAAGAGAAGTTATTTGGATTAGGCCTTAAAGAATGAGTAGAGTTTATTAGGCAGAAATGCGGGGAGGGCACCTCAGAGATCAGAATGAGCAAATGCAGGGACTGGAAAGGGCAGTGTTGCAGGGAGAATAAGCAGTCGGCTGTGACTGGAGTTCTGTGAGTGGCAGGGGGTACTCTCAGGTCTTCCTGTCACTTATCTCCCCACCCTGCTGTCCTGGAGGAGGGTTAACCTTTAAGGACACACCCAACTACAGGGCTGCTGGTGTGCAAGCCAGGCCCTGTGGAATAGGCAGAAGTCCCAGGGAACTGTGTGCAGAATTCTGGCTTGGCCTGTTTGGTATCCCTGGCCAGTCATGGCCCCTTCACTCTTTAGTGACATCCTAGGACAGAGGTCGGTATGTGTGGGTGAGAGGATGAAGTGAGCCTGTGTTTGGGCTGGGAACAGTGACAAGCAGGATGTGAGAGCCCATCCCCCACAGAAGAATGCCTGCAAATAGCCCTCCCTGGTGCTGACCCTGCTCCCAGTGGCTATCATCAGCTGAAGTGTTAGGGCATTTGTTTCAAGGGCCTGGTCCTCCCAGACTTTGGTTGGCTTTTGGTTTCTTCCTACTGAGCACGTACTGTTGGCTGAGTAGGGCAGAAAGTAGGTTGGCACAGAGATGAAGACAAGTTTTATGGTAGAGATGGATAAACAATAGAGACATCATTATTTTAGTATTTGGTAGCTATGAAACACTGTGCTAAGAGCTTTACATGTATATCCTTTTTTTTTTTTTGAGACAGTCTCACTCTGTCGCCAGGTGCCAGGCTGGAGTGCAGTGACGATCTCGGCTCACTGTAACCTCCGCCTCCCGGGTTCAAGCAATTCTCCTGCCTTAGCCTCCCGAATAGCTGGGACTATAGGCATGTGCCACCACACCCAGCTAATTTTTGTATTTTTTTTTTTTTAGTAGAGCCGGGGGGCGGGGGGTCTCGATCTCTTGACCTCGTGATCCGCCCACCTTGGCCTCCCAAAGTGCTGGGATTACAGGCATGAGCCACCATGCCAGGCCCATGCATATCCTTTTAAAAGATGAGCCTTCCAGCCTGGGCGACGTAGTGAGATCTTGTCTCTACAAAAATTATAAAAATTAACTGCACCTGGTGGTTGTGCCGGTGGTCTCAGATACCTAGCAACTTGAGAGGTTGAGGTGGGAGGATTGCTTGAGTCAGGGAGGTAGAGGCTGCAGTGTGCCCTGATCATGTTACTAGACTCTAGTCTAGGTGACAGACTGAGATGCCATCTCAAAAAATTAAAATAAAAGCTGAGCCTTTTCATGGTCTTGTCTCCACATGGTATCAATCTAGCATCCATAATATTTGAATAATGATTGCACAATCTTTTGAAAAATATACACAGCAAATCTTAAAATCCTCTTTTCCTGAGGCCTAAGGATTGCTTGAGGCCAGGAGTTTGACACCAGCCCAGGCAACATAGTAAGACCCCATCTCTACAAAAAATTTAAAAATTAGCCAGGCGTGGTGGCAAGTAGTCCTAACTAATTAGGAGGCTAGGTGGGAGGATTGCCTGAGCTTGAGTGTTTGAGACTGCAGTGAGCCATGATGGAGCAGCTGTACCTCGGCCTGGGCGACACAGCAACTCGTTTCTAAATAAATAAATACATAATTTTTTCATCTGTCTCTCTGTATTGTATACACAAAGCAACCCCTCATCACAACCCTTTCTTCCCCTCCAAGCTCCCCTAGAGGAGAAATTAAGGCCATGAATATATAGAGAGAACATTTTTTCTTTACTCACATACATAATCCAAATTAAACTTCTTCACAGCCCTGTGAAGGCAGGGACTATTGTTTCCATTTAAGTTGGAGAAACAGATGATTAGAGGTTAAATCTTGACCAAGCTCACAAAGCTAATCATTGGCAAGTGGATTTGAAGCAGGTTCTGCGCCTACAGTGAAGTGCATATGTCATCCAGTGGCTCTGAGACTCCTGAGAAGGGGCCAAGTAATTCAGCATGGGGCGATCACTTAGGCTTCATGGAGGAGGAAATATTTGAGTAGGACATCAAAGGATGAAGAGAAGCTCTCAATAGGCAGAGACGGGCAATATGTTTCTCAGGAAGGGGTCGGGGGGGAGGCCCAAAGAATAAGCATATCAGATAGTGGAAGGTCAGAGAGGAGGTGATCTCACCACCATCCCCAATAACAGGGTGAGCCTGGCACTTAAGAGACTTGCCTCATTTCCCAACTTTGCCCCAGGGAGATTTTGCCTGTGCCCTTTTAACAGCCACCATCACAAAGCCTCCTTGTGTCTTCTGAAAGAGACCTTCTGACTCTGGCTGGCTCCCCATTATAGGGGAAGAGAGGGAGATCTGTGGTGAAGGAGCCCAGAAATGAACTCCCAAACCAAATGCCATACACTCAATTCCTCAGGAATTACATGTCAAGACTGTCTTAGGGAATGCAGCCCCCTAGCTGGTCAAAGAAAGCAGACTGTGGTCTAAAGGACACAATGGAAAGTAGATCCAACTTAATCTGGGTTTGAGTCTCAGCAAAACCATCAGCTGGGTGAATTCAGGCAAGTTGCTTAATCTTGCTGAGCTTCAGTCAAAAAATGATGGGCCTTTTTGCTAAAAAGTGGTGCCTCATAGGTTTGTCAGAGAGGAAGAGGAAATGGCTGGCTGGTGGGTGTATTGATCTAATATTTCCTTCAGTGCTGGGTGTTCGGGACTTGTCAAATCTGGATTTCTCCGGAAGGAAATAGACAGTATGCAAGCTCAGCAACTTGGGTGGGAAGGTAACTCCCAGCAAGTAAAGGGAAAAAGAAGAGGTGATGGGTGAAGCATGGAAAGAGAGTTTCCAGTCCTAAAGTCTTAGTACCATGTAGAGACAATTCCATGAACCTCCCTGAGCCTCAGTTTCTTCACCTTCAAATGCCAACTCAACTTAATGAATAGTGGCAGGGTGCTTGAATTGCTATTTCTTTCATTCATTCATTCATTCATTCATTCATTCATTCATTTATTTATTGAGACAGAGTCTCACTCAGTTGCCCAAGCTGGAGTACCATGGTGCTATCTCAGCTTACCGAAACCTCTGCTTCCCAGGTTCAAGTGATTCTAGTGCCTCCCCCTCCCAAGTAGCTGGGATTACAAGCACGTGCCACCAGGCTCAGTTAATTTTTGTATTTTTAGTAGAGATGGAGTTTTGCCATTTTGGCCGGGCTGGTCTCAAATTCCTGGCCTCAGGTGATCTACCAGCCTTGGCCTCCCAAAGTGTTGGGATTACAGGCGTGAGCCACTGACTAGCCAAGTGTTTGTATTTTACAAATGAAATTGAGGTTAAGCCCTGTCCTGGTTCCAGCATATAGCGTGAATGTGTGTATGTGCGTGTGTGTGAGATGATGATCCTTTAAATTACACAAAAATTGGGATCCCTGTGTTTGAATTAGCAAGAGATCAAGCCTACTGCCTCTGCTTTTTCTGCTGCCCAAGGAATTGGAAAACCTGGCCATTTGACTTAACTGGCCACCCAGAAAAGGGGAGGCAAAGGAGAATAAACACAAATTAGTATTTCTGTAAATTAGCCTGACATACTAAAGTTTACGAGTGCTCATTACCTGCCAGATACTCTGCTAAGCACTTCACATATAACACCTTTAGTAGAGTCTAAATTACACGTTGGAGAATAGCCTAGGGCTTAACAGTACAAACTTGGGAGTCCAAGGCTGCTTAGGAGGTTAGGAGTCCTGCCTCTCCCGGTAGCTTGCTGCACATCCGTGGCTATTGCCTATGTACCTTCACCTCTCCAAGCCCCGATTTCCACTCTGTCTCTTGGGTCCTAGTGAAACAAAGAGATAAACAACAGCAATATAAATGACGGCAGACGTTTATTGAGCTGACGTGGATGGCAGGGGCATCCTAATCCTGAAACACTATTCCCTTGTCTCCACCATGGCAGCGGAAGCCTGGGCTGAATCCGCGCTGCGCCCCAGCCCCGCACCAGCGCGGGTGGAACCGCGTGGGGGAAGTTGCGGTTCGTGGGCGGCAAGCGGAGGAGGCGCGCAGCCTAATGCAGTTGTCAGTTAATTAGGGGAGAAGGTTATGTCATTAACGGCAGGATCGATACAAAGGGAATTAACATGCTCGGCCAGCGCCACCGCTAGCTCTCCGCGCGGGTCGCGGGCCGAGGGTCGAACTCCACGAAAATTCCGTACGCATTAGTCGACCATCAGCTGCCGCTCGGGGCTCTGGGCGGGCGGAGCGTCAGAGCTGGGCCGGAGGCGGGAGGCCGGGCCGGAAGAGCGCCCCTGCCTGGGTAGCCCCGGAGTCCTGGCGCAGCGCGGTCCGGTCTTCACTGCTGGAGGCCCTCGGAGGCAGGTGAGTGTCGCGGCCTGGCCCGGGGAGGCCAGGGGCGCTATGGCGATGGCTGGGTTAATGTTTAAACATTCCAAAGAGCCCCTGCTACTGTTTCCAGCGCACTCCACCCAGGCTCCTGAACACAGCTAGCTCATGCCGCAGGTCCAGGCGAGTCACTGGGAAGCCGCCCTGACCTCCCTAAACCAGGCCAGACCATCATGTCACCCACCCTCACAGCACTTTGTGACATTTATCACAGCGGGACTATATAGTGATCTATAGAAGGTTTTGTCCCCAACTAAATGCAAAAATAAATAAAATGAAATGGAGGAGGAGGAGGAGAAGAAGAAGGAGAAGGAGGAAGAGGAGGAGGAGAAGAAGGTGGTGGTGGTTCTGTACACTGTCTTTCTCCCGACCAGACTATAAGCTCCAGGAGAGCGGGACTTAATGGGTCTGCCTTGTGTAGCTGCAGCCAAAATGCCTTGAAGATGCAAGTGCTCAGTACATATCTGCCCAAGGAATGAATCCCCTTAGCAGCCCAGGGAGTAGGTAGGGTGAGGAAACTAAGGCTCAAAGAAATGACTTACCCAAGATCATACTGATCTCCCACCTCCCCAAGCTTTTTCCTTGAGTAAATTAATCTGTCTGAACCTTGGTGTTCCCATCTAGGAGAAATCTAGTTTGTAGCTGCCTCCATACTAAGTGCCAGGGACTGTGCTAACATTTTACTTACATTTGCTCATTTAATTCTCACAACAACCCTGTGAGATAGAAATCATGTTATAAGCCAGGGTGCGGTGGTTCACACTTGTAATCCCAGCACTTTGGAAGGCTGAGGCGGGCGGATCACCTGAGGTCAAGAGTTCGAGACCAGCCTGGCCAACATGGTGAAACCCCGTCTCTTCTAAAAATACAAAAATTATTTTGAAGGATGACTGACAATTAATAAAAAAAAAAATACAAAAATTAGCTGAGTGTGGTGGTGCATGCCTGTAATCCCAGCTACTTGGGAGGCTGAGGTGGAAGAATCACTTGAACCTGAAGTGGAGGTTATAGTGAGCCCAGATTGTCCCATTGCCCTCCAGCCTGGGCACTAGAGCAAGAATTCGTCTCAAAAAAAAAAAAGAAATCATGTTATATAGGAGGAACTTGAAAGTAGCAAGAGCTGGGCTCATCATTTGTCTGTTTGCCCTCAGATCCACTGTTCTCCTGCTAATACTCTGTGTCACAGGTGGGCTAGCCCTACACTCCATCCCCATCCCATCCCCAGGCAGGCTGCTTCTCCCAGGCTCTCTTGTCAGCTGGCTTTGGCTGGGTTTGGACAATGGGAGCCACAGGCTCAAGATTGAGGGTGGGAGGACAGAAGAAGCTAGGATACCCACAACCTTGTCAGTTTCTGGCTCCGTCTCCTTCATCTGGCCCCCACGCTCGGGATGGCAGTGGTTTCCTGCTCTTGCTAATCTCTGGGTTGCCCCAGTCTCCCGTTTGTCTTCTCACTTCTTCCATTACTTATAGCCACAGTATTAACTTCTCACTGTTTGAAATACTCAGTGAGTTCATTTTCCTGATTACCGGAAGAGCCATGATTTGTATCCAAATCTGTCTGACCACAAAACTTACATGCTTAAAGTTTTTCATGCTTAAAGTTTATTGCCGATGACAGTAGGGCAAAGCAGTTAAAAAATGATAACCACTGAACCACACTGCCCAGAAAGCTCTTACTAGGTAGCTTCTGTAGGAGAAATTCATTTTAAAGAGAATGGCTCACCCATAAAACCTATTTATAATTTATTGTTTTAAAATTCTGCTTTCCATAGCCAAAATATTGTTTACACCTGTAAATGAAGGTAATCATAGCATCTACCTGGTAGGGATACTGTGAAGACAAAATAAGCTAATCTATGCCAAACACCTGCACGACAGTTCACTGACAATTCCTTCCCCGATTCTTTTAAAACCTGGGGAAGTTTTAGTGCCTTCGGTCTTTTCATCTCGGGAATCCTGGAGTGTGGAGGATGGCAGCTCTGCCTTTCATTTCTGAGTATTCTCCTTATTGCATTGTAGATTCACCTTGCCCACTGGACCAGTGAATGTGAAGTAATCAGATGGCCAGCCTGGCAGCTACAATACACAGGAGATGTGTGCAATGAATGTTAGATCTGACTGAATGCTCCCAAATCAATTGGACTGCCCCCAGAGACTTGGCTGGCAATGAACGAGAGTGTGAGGTGCTTTTGACACATGCATTCAGGACCTGATTTGAGCAAAGGTGTCTGCTTAACAGTCCTGAGGGCAATTTTCTCTCCTGATTGATTCGTAACTTTCCATCTTAATGGAAAATAAGGCAAGTGTAAAGGAAGTAGTTTTCTCCTTGAACCAGAAATCCTTGTTGTGCTTTCCTTTCTGAACTTAGGGGGTACTATATCCTTTTATCTGAAAAGGGGTTACAGAGGCCAAAGTTTGCTGGGAGATGGTGCAAAGGTATAGGAGTTGGGAATAGGAGCTCAACTCACACAATCCCCAATGACTTGGGAGAACTCGAAGACTAGAGAATCTGTGGAGGTCAAGAAACTGTCCTTGCCAAGAGAGATTGTGCCATTGCACTCCAGCCTGGGCAACAAGAGTGAAATTTCATCTCAAAAAAAAAAAAAAAAGACACTGTCCTTGATGGCTGAACAACTGCACATAACAGATTAGGTCTTTAGCTACCACAGCCTAGAGCCTGGGGCTGGGAGTCTCACCTGTTCCCTGGGATAAGGTTCTTCATTTGAACCTACACTGACTGCTGCAATTTGCCATGAGCTCATATGAGTCATTGACATCAATGCAATTTATAAAATTTGTAGACAGTACAAATATATTTGATGTTATGGTTTTAAACTAGTTTGGAAGTTCTTTACCACAGTAGTATAAGCCTCCTACCCCTAGAGCTTAATAGCACAGGATTTGGAGCAAACAGACCCAGGTTCCAATCCCAGCTCACTGCTGACCTGACTGCTTCTTACCTCAACTTTCTGAGCCTCAAGTTTGTCATCTATAAGGCAGGAATAATTGTACCTACTTGGAAGAGTTGTTGTGAAGATTAAATTAGACACTAGAGTGAGAGTTTAAGAAATAGTAGCAATTATTAAAATTGTTGGCCGGGCATGGTGGCTCACGCCTGTAATCCCAGCACTTTGGGAGGCCGAGGTGGGCGGATCACGAGATCAAGAGATTGAGACCATCATGGCCAACATGGTGAAACCCCATCTCTACTAAAAATACAAAAATTAGCTGGGCATGGTGGCACGTGCCTGTGGTCCCAGCTACTCGGGAGGCTGAGGTGGAAGAATTGCTTGAACCCAGGAGGCGGAGGTTGCAGTGAGCTGACATTGCGTCACAGCACTCAGCCTGGCAACAGAGCAAACTCTTTTTTTTCTTTTTTTTATGCCCGGTGTCTCGGCGCTTGAGGATAGAGCTAGCAGATGGGAAGTCACCAGCACCGAAGACATGATGCCAAGGGGGCCAGAGCCCTTTCCCTCTTCCTCTGTACATTACGGGTAGCAGGACCACAAGCCCAGTCCCTGCCAAGGAAAGGAGGGTAAGACTCCGTCTCAAAAAAAAAAAACCACAACTGTTGGCCGGGAGTGGTAGTTCACGCCTGTAATTTAGGAGACCAAGGCAGGTGGATCACTTGAGGTCAGGGTTCAAGACCAACCTAGCCAACATGGTGAAACCCTGTCTCTACTAAAAATGCAAAACTTAGCTGGGCATGGTGGCTCATGCCTGTAATCCTAGAACTTTGGGAGGCCAAGGCGGGCAGATCACCTGAGGTCAGGAGTTCAAAACCAGCCTGGCCAACATGATGAATCCCTGTCTGTACTAAAAATACAGAAACTAGCCAGGCATGGCGGTGGAGTCCCAGCTACTTGGGAGGCTGAGGCAGGACAATTGTTTAAACCCAGGAGGCAGAGGTTGCAGTGAGCCGAGACTGCACCATTGCAATCGGTCTCAAATTTCTAAAATGATGCTGAGTCCTAGGGATAGATGGGGTTGAAAGATTTATGCTGAGATTATTCTAAATTTAAAAACAAATGGCCAAGAGCAGTTGTCCAAGCCAAGGCTCATGCCTCTAATCCCAGCACTTTGGGAGGCCAAGGTGGGTGGATCGCTTGAGCCCAGGAGTTCAAGACCAGTCTGGACAACATGGTGAAACCCTTGCAGTCCCAGCTGCTCAGGACGATGAGGTGGAAGGATCACCAGAGCCTGGGGAGGATGAGACTACAATGAGCCATGATCATGCCACTGCACACCAGCCTGGGCAACAGAGTGAAACTGTCTCAAAAAATAAAATAAAATAAAAACAAACTGGCTGGGCACAGTGTCTCATGCCTATAGTCTCAGCACTTTGGGAGGCTGAGGCAGGCAGATTACTTGAGGTCTGGAGTTTGAGACCAGCCTGGCCTACATGGTGAAACCCTGTCTCTACTAAAATAGGCAAAAAAATTAGCCAGGCATGGTGGTGTGCACCTGTAATCTTGGGAGGCTGAGGCAGGAGAATTGCTTGAGCCCGGAAGTCAGAGGTTGCAGTGAGCCAAGATTGCAACACAGCACTCCAGCCTAGCTAACAGAGTGAAACTCTGTCTCAAAACAAACTAACAAACAAACTAGGGACAAGGGGGCAAAGGCTGTCTCTCTGAGAGTCTATGATTATAAATGTCAATTTTTAAAATCATATGATTGATCTGAGTAGTAAATAAAATAGTGCATGTAGGCTGGGCACAGTGGCTCACGCCTGTAATCTCAACACTTTGAGAGGCCGAGGCAGGCGGATCACAATGTCAAGAGATCAAGACGATCTTGGCAAACATGGTGAAACCCCGTCTCTACTAAAAGTACAAAAAATTAGCCGGGCATGGTGGTGTGTGCCTGTTGTCCAAGCTACTCAGGAGGCTGAGGCAGGAAAATTGCTTGAAACTGGAAAACGGAAGTTGCAGTGAGCCAGGATTGCACCACTGCACTCCAGCCTGGTGATAGAGTGAGACTCTGTCTCAAAATAAATAAATAAATAAAAATAATAAAATAAAATAAAATAGTGCATGTAAAGTTCTTTGCCCAGTGCCTGACACATAGGATGTACTCTGTAAACATTTTATTAGTTACTGTGACCAGGAAAATGTGACAGTTTGCTGCCAAAGCTGAATATTTTTTAAATGCTCAAGTTTAAATTATAGTGAATGCTCTGGCATTGACTTGACTAGCTTCTTGAGGGTAGAGACTGTGACTTGGCCACTTACAGTTTTCTTAAAGCTTAGTGCCACCGTAAATTACTAATAAATAATTTTTTGAATAAATGTTGAGCTCACGATATGGTTATTACAGGACTCAAAAGCATTTTGAAAGCTTTGGAAAGGCTGGGTATGATGGATGATGCTTTTGATCCCAGCACTTTGGGAGACCAGGCAGGTAGATTGCTTGAGCTCAGGAGTTCAAGACCAGCCTGGCCAACAGAGCAAGACCCTGTCTCTACAATTTTTTTTTTTAATTAGCTAGGCATAGTGGTGCATGCTCATAGTCCCAGCTACTTGGAAGGCTGAGGTGAGATGATTGCCTGGGCCCCGGAGTTCAAGGTTGCAGTGAACTATAATCACACCAGTGGACTCCAGCTTGGGAGGCAGAGTAAGACCCCATATCTTACCCCATATCTTAAAAATAAAATAAAATAAAAACCCAGAAGGGGCTGAAAAATAAAATGTTGATTTTTGAGAAGGATGGAGGGGTTCATGAACATAGAAACTCAACATGGCCACAGGAAGAAACATCTTCAAATTCTAATTTTTTTTTTTTAGACTGAATGTTGATCTGTCGCCCAGACTGGAGTGCAGTGGAGCAATCTTGGCTCACTGCAGGCTCCGTCTCCCTGCCAGACTCAAGCAACCCTCCCACTTCAGCCTCCCAAGTAGCTGGGATTACAGGCACCTGCCATGATGCCTGGCTAGGTTTGTTTGTTTGTTTTTGAATCAGAATTTCGCTCGTTACCCAGGCTGGAGTGCAGTGATGTGATCTCTGTTCACTGTAACCTCTGCCTCCCTGGTTCAAGTGATTCTCCTGCCTCATTCTCCGAAGCAGCTGGGACTACAGGTGCGTGCCACCACACCTGGCTAATTTTTGTATATATATTTTTAGTAGAGACGAGGTTTCACCATGTTGGCCAGGTTGGTCTCGAACTTCTGGCCTCAAATGATCTGCCCACCTTGGCCTCCCAAAGTGCTGGGATTATAGGTATGAGTCATCGTGCCCAGCCTTTTTTGTTTTGTATTTTTTTAGTAGAGATGGGGTTTCACCATGTTGACCAGGCTGGTCTTGAACTCCTGACCTCAAGTGATCTGCCTGCATTGGTCTCTCACAGTGCTGAGATTATAGGCATGAACCACCACAACTGGCCTGAATTTAAAAATTTTTTAAAGTTTAATATTGTGAGCTTAGTCAAGAAGTCCTGAAGTATTATGGGTTGAATTGTGTCCCCTGAAAAAATTCATATTGAACATACTAATACCCAGTACTTCAGAATGTGATCTTATTTGGAAATAGTCATTGCAGATGTAATTAGTTAAGATGGGCCAGGCACAGTGGCTCATGCCTGTAATCCCAGCACTTTGGGAGGCTGAGACGGGAGGATTTCTTGAGTCCAGGAGATTGGGAGCAGTCTGGGCAACATGTGAAACCCTGTCTCTACAAAACATAAAAAGAAAAATTAGCTGGGCATGGTGGCATGTGCTTGTAGTCCTAGATACTTGGGAGGCTGAGGTGGGAGGATGGCTTAAGCCAGGGGAGGTGAAAGTTGCAGTGAGCTGAGATTGTACCACTGCACTCCAGCCTGGGCAACAGAACCAGAATCTTTCTCAAAAATAAAAAACCCAATAATAATAGTAATTAGTTAAGATTAGGTTCATACTGGAGTAGGGTAGACTGCTAATTCAGTAAAACTGGTATCCTTATTTTATTTTATTTATTTATTTATTTATTTATTTTTTGAGATGGAGTTTCACTCTTGTTACCCAGGCTGGAGTGCAATGGTGCGATCTCGGCTCACCGCAACCTCCGCCTCCTGGGTTCAAGCAATTCTCCTACCTCAGCCTCCTGAGTAGCTGGGATTACACGCTGCGCTACCATGCCCAGCTAAGTTTTCTATTTTTAGTAGAGATGGGGTTTCACCATGTTGACCAGGATGGTCTCGATCTCTTGACCTAGTGATCCACCTGCCTCGGCCTCCCGAAGTGTTGAGATTATAGGCGTGAGCCACCGCACCCTGCCGATATCCTTATTTTAAAAAGGAGTTAAATGGGATACACACACACACATGCAGGGAGAATGTTATGTGAAGATTAAGACAGAGGTTGTGGTGGTTCTTCTATAAGCCAAGGATTGCCAGCAAACTGAGAAGCTAGGGGAGAGGCATGGAACAGATAGTTCCTCATAGCCCTCAGAAGGAAACAACCATGCTGCCATCTTGATTTTGGCCTTCTAGCCTCTGGAACTGTGAGACAATACATTTCCGCTCTTTAGTCATCTAGTTTGTTATACTCTCATGCCAGCCTCTGCAAACTAATACGTGAAACAAACAAATCTAAAAATGCTGCCCTTCTGGCTCTCCCAGTGGTCTTTCACGCCCAAGCCCAGATATTCATGTCCAAAGGCTGGAAATGAATATATATCCAAACATGCTTGTGTCCAGCCATTTCTATCATAACAGCCCCCACCAACTATGCCTCAAAGAGCATATAGAACCATGTGGAAAGCCCTTGACCGATAGGTCCCAACAAGCACAGTAGCTTTAAGTCCAATCAACTACAACCATGTAATTAAAAATAATTCCTGCTTATGTCTGAAGAGCTTTAAATAAAGTTTGGAATTATTTAGCTATTTCACCTTAATGTTATTTTTTTTAGATGGAGTCTTGCTCTATCTCCCAAGCTAGAGTGCAGTGGCATAATCTTGGCTCATTGCAACCTCCACTTTCCAGGCTCATGTGATTCTTTCACCCTAGCCTCCTGAGAAGATGGAATCATAGGTGTGCTCCACCATGCCCAGCTCATTTTTGTGTTTTTAGTAGAGACGGGTTTTTACCATGTTGGCCAGGCTGGTCTTGAACTCCTCACCTCAAGTGACCCGCCCACCTCAGCATCCCAAAGTGCTGGGATTACGGGCGTGAGCCACAGCACCTGGTCATTAGTGTTATTTTAATATGTAATAGTAATTGGGATACATTGGTTATTATGGTTCAGGGACTTTGTGAAGCACTTTACGCACATCATTTCTTTAATCAACCATAGGACAGACTCAGAGAATTTGCTTGTGTATAAATGTATAGCTAGTTCGTAATGGAGATCTTAGTCTGCCTCAGCCCAGTGTCTGTGTTCTTTGTTACCACACTCTTCTGCCTCCTGAGAGGGTACTGAACCTAATGCAGAGAAAAGTCATGGAATATTAGAGTCCTTCTCTTGTCTGACTTAGTCTTGTTTTAATTGACATAAAAGCTCCTGTACATTCTGCCTGCATTTTCCAGCTCTAGATGAAAGAAATGTGACTGGCACATAGTAA